TTTCAGCGTCTAGCGATATCAAGGCTTCCTGTGATTTATTCTGGGGGTTATTATGTATTATGTTAAAAAGTCTCCTCAAATTTGAAAAGGAATGTCTGTTTTGAATAAAACCGGTTTGATCAGGATTAATGATGACAGGTAAGACTTTATCAAGGCGTTTGGCTAGGATTTTTGATAGTAGTTTGAAATCGACATTTAACAAGCTTATGGGACGATATGAGGAACAAAGTAAAGGGTCCTTTCCTTTCTTCAGAAGGAGCGAAATTACAGCTTGATTGAGTGTTTCTGGCAGCGTACCATGAGAGAATGATTCAGTATACATATCCAATAACAACGGTGTAAGTTTATCCTTAAATTTCTTATAAAATTCTGATGGATATCCATCCGGGCCCGGGCACTTCCCACTCTGGAGGGACTGTATTGCTACACCAATTTCTTGGGATGTAATGGATGCCCCAAGGTTATTCGCTGAATCCTCACTAATGGTAGGAATTTGAAGGGGTGAAAAAAAACTATAAAAGTCCTCATCTGTAGGCTTAATCTCGGACGAGTATAAGGACTGATAAAAGGCTTCAAAAGTCTGATTAATTTTGGAGGGATCCGTAGTTTCCCCTTGACTAGTTTGAATCTTAGCTATTTGACGGGAGGCGGAGACCTGACGGATCTGATGAGCCAGCAGTTTACCGGCTTTATCACCATGTTCGAAAAATTGTGTATTAGCCTGAAGCATAAGTTCTGTTGTGTGCGAGGTCATGAGTACATCAAATTCAGATTGGAGAGCGAGACGTTCTTTATAAATGTTCGGTGAAGGCAAGGCTGCATATATGGTATCTAGCTGCAATATTCGCTGCCTGATACAGTTTAATTTTTCATCTCTTATTTTGTTCTCAAAATGTACAAAGGAGATTATTTCCCCTCTAATATAAGCCTTAAGGGACTCCCAGAGCAACGAAGCAGACATTCCTGGCATTCTGTTGGTACTCAAGAAAAAATCTATCTGATTTGAGACAAAGTTAATAAAATTATCATTTAGGAGTAGCCGAACATTGAGGCGCCAAAGGGGGCGCTGGTATAAGGCTCTCAGTTTTATATCCATCAAAAGAGGAGCATGGTCAGAGAGAACAATGGCATCATATCTACACAGAGATATCATTGATAGAAATCGATTATCGACTAAAAACAGGTCAATGCGCGTAAACGTGTGATGCACAGAAGAAAAGAATGAGTATTCTCGCTTGGAGGGATTCAAAAAGCGCCAAGAGTCAGATATAGAAAACACGTCCATAAAATTTTGAATTGTCTTCGCTGATCGTGAAGGTGCAACTTGTTTAGTGGAAGAACGATCTAGAGCGGGGTCTAGCCAGCAATTAAAGTCCCCTCCCAGTATTAAATGATAAGCAGACATATCGGGAAGCAGAGAGAAAAAAACGCTTAAAAAAGGACTCATCATCACAGTTTGGTGCATAGACGTTGGCCAATGCAATATTCAAACCCAGGAGCTTGCCAGTTACAATAACGTATCTGCCATTAGGATCAGGGAGAACCCGCTCAAGAACAAAGGAAATAGACTTATGAAAGAGAATCGCTGTACCCCTAGCCTTACCAGAAAAAGATGAATGATACACTTGGCCCACCCAGTTTTTCTTTAACTTCAGGTGATCAAGGTTCTTAAGGTGGGTCTCTTGGAGGAAGACTATTTGAGCACCAAGCTGCTGTAGATGGTGGAGCACCTTACTGCGTTTCACTGGATTATTAAGTCCTTTGCAGTTAAAGCTAGCGAACCGGAGGTCCTTTCCTACTGAAGACAACATAATGGTAAAATCAAATTATTGCATTCAGGTTGTCCCGCAAACTTATATGAACATATTATGGACACATCAAATGTAATAATAGCAGTGTAGAGAAGTTGATGGTATGAAAACAAACAAAAAAACACAAAAAATCGCAGAAGCATTCCCCCAAATGGAATGCGCGACCCCCAATCCCCCCAAATATCCCATAGCAAACCTTCAGAAGGCGAAGGAGGAAACTAAAACTATAACCCTCCATGTGGAATGTGACAATAAAAAAAAAACAAATTATAGAAAATACACCAAGTCTCAACAAAAAGCACCTTTTAAATAGGTAAAGTGGTCAAAACAATTTAAAATAGTGTAAGTAAGAAAATGGATACAAGGAATACCTGTATGCCTATAGCAGAATGGACAACAACAATAACCTATTTGTCAGGAAATACAAATAAACAAATAAAAAAGTGATAACTATCAGGCAACATTATTAGCAGGGTAGCAATAACATTAGGTTAAAGCCTAGAATTAATGCTAAAAAAGAACAAAATATTTTAAATGGGAAAAAAAAAACATACTGCAATAACGGGCTGTATTAATGCAACAGTCAACACAACAAAACAAAGGGGGCAACATATTACCAAATGTGCAAAACTGTAACGTTACTCTGACTGGTGGTTACTGCAGCTTCCAAATGTTTTTAAGTGAAAGACAGACACATCAGATAGAGTCAGGAGACACCATAGTCTTCACATGTTTGGTCACAAAGTCCGCTGCAAGTTCTGGGTCTTCAAAACGATGAGTCTGTCCACCGGGAAGGGTAACACGCAGCACAGCAGGATAGAACAGGCCAAACTTCACACCCGGGCATGAATGGAGCGATTTTTTCACCGTAGCAAAAGCGGATCTTTTCTTAGAAACGGCGGCAGTGAAATCCGGGAACACGGACACCCTTTTCCCCTGGTATAGGAGTGGAGCCGATGCACCAGCTCTACGCAAAATCTCGTTGCGTTGTTGGAAAAGGTTTACACGTGCAATAAACGGGCGAGGGGGCTCTCCATCCTTGGGCTTAGACCGGAGCGTGCGATGCGCTCGATCCAAAACGGGCTTGTCGTTCAGACCAAGCAAGTCTCGTAGTAAAGTGGCCACAAAATCAGTAGGTCGGGCTCCTTCAACTCCCTCTGGCACTCCAACAATACGTACGTTATTCTGCCTTGAGCGCCCCTCCAGGTCTTCGCATTTCTTCGACAGAGAGCCAACCTGCTCGGTCAGCAAAGCTACCGTAGCTTGTAAGCTAGTTAGCTGGCCACCATGATCTGTAGCAGTATCTTCCAAGCTATTAATGGTTTCACTCTGCGCACTCAGAGATGTTTCTAGTGGACGAAGGGCAGCGGCTATCTCCCGTTTAACTACCCCTGATACTATCTGCTCAAACTCAGTGACAATGTCCCGAACGCATGCTCTGCATCATTACCTCCATACGACATAGCAGGCGCTCGTTAGCATCAGACCCGGGGTCAGACACATGCTCAGGCGAGGCTGCAGGATGGATGCGGCCTGTCTTCGCTGTTTCAGATTTATGGCGAGTTTCCATGCCTACGCTGCTCTTCCTCGGTGGGGCGGACATGGTTGGTTTCAATAAAGTTAGAAGACTGGCGGTTATGTTCAAATCCAAGTTAAAAGGTGTAAAAATACAATAAAAAGTCACATTCTGGCGGAGCTACTGCAGACACGTCCTCACATGCCAACGCTCAACAGCGCCCCCCCCCCCTCAGAACTTTTCAAATCAAACTTTGACCCTCTCCTGGATAAAGTTAAACAAGATTTTGATAGATGGTCTCTATTGCACTTAACAGTTGCTGGAAGGATTAACACTGTCAAAATGAATGTGCTTCCTAAATTGTCTTTTCTTTTCCAATGTGTTCCTGTCTTTATATAAATAAAGATTACTTACTTACTTACTTATTCCAGCTACTTCATTCCAGCCTCCTTTTTCGCCAAGATTAATGGAACTATTTCTGGCTGTATTTGGAATAACTGGTTGCAGGTGGAAACCCTTAACGATGCTCCAGCCTGGCTGTGCTCGGAAGCCTTTTCCTGTGTCACATCTTCTTTAGCTGCTTTTGTTCATGCTCCAAAGCAACTGCCTGATTCAGAGTTCTCTAATAACACAATTTTTTAAGATGACATTGAAAATTTGTTTCAGTTTAGACGTTTTTTCAAATGTAACCGCTTTTCTTTAAAAGCCCCCATTGGGAATAATCCATACTTTAAGCCTTCTTTGGTTGATGGTGCGTTTCTAATTTGGTTTTCCCTTGGAATTAAAGCTGCACTAACTGACTTTATTTTTGCATTCATGACAAAAATGCTATCCATGTCCATGCAGTGCATTGGGATATACGTCCTTTTGAAGAATAAGTACGCAGGTTTGTGCTGGTGTGACATTTTATTTTTGATCGAGTTTTGATGAAACAAGGAAGAGAATGTGTTTCGGGTCTCAGATTGTGACCAATCACAGCGCAACACTAGCCCCCACTTTTGTGAGAAATCTACAGGTCCGTTAGCACAGACAGCTGAGTTAGCACAACAAGACGAGGAGCTAACCTGAAGCTTCCTCGTCTTTGTCACCGGTTACTGCTTACACAGCGAAACAGCCATCCAAAAGAAAGTCCCGTTCCTCCGTGCTTCCCGGTTCTATCGCTCTATGGTCACGCCCTCCACGTGCAAATCCATATCCATGTATTATCCATATTGAGAGACACTAGCTCCGTCAACAACAGTGGGTGTGTGTGGGGGGCGATAGCTTCGTGGGTGCGGGGAGGGGAGCAGAAAGAGCGAGGCCAGCGAGTCCGCGGCTTCAAAATCCCAAAGTCAGTTAGTGCAGCTTTAAGTAATTCAATGACCTTTTCATCGATGGAATCTTTGCCTCCTTTGTGCAGCTCTCAGCTAAATTCAGTCTCCCAAAGAATCATCTCTTTCGCTATTTACAAATGCTGAGTTACGTGAAGGAAAAAAATGCAGTTCCCATCAAAACCTCCACATCACGACTTTGACGATCTTCTGTTACCCCCTCAATCATCTAAGTGTATTACATCATGTCTGTACGACCGAATATGTTCCTTTGGGAAAGCTTCAATCTCCCCCATAAGAGCAGCATGGGAGCAAGAGCATGGGGCCGGACCTGGGTGAGACCTGCGTGAGACCAGTGTCCTGTCACCTGATTGGCTGTTGGATCCGGCGTCGCCATGGGAGTTTTGGTTCTGCTCCGTTCTTCACTGCATCGAAGAACGAAACACCGGACTGTTTCAACAAACCTGAGATCAAAGACCAGAGTGAGACCAGAATGAGACCAGAGTGAGACCAGAATGAGACCAGAGTGAGACCAGAATGAGACCAGAGTGAGACCAGAATGAGACCAGAGTGAGACCAGAATGAGACCAGAGTGAGACCAGAATGAGACCAGAATGAGACCAGAATGAGACCAGAATGAGACCAGCGGGAGACCAGAGCAACATGAGACAAGAGAGCGAGACCAGAGAGCGAGACCAGAGAGCGAGACCAGAGAGCGAGACCAGAGAGCGAGACCAGAGAGCGAGACCAGAGAGCGAGACCAGAGAGCGAGACCAGAGTTCTTGTTCACATAAGAGGCCTGTGAGTGCCTCTGGGCCTCTTTAGGCTTGTTACCATGAAGAGCTCTGTAGGCTGATCCGAGACATGCCGAGTTGGAGCTGTCGATGGTGAAGACAGGAGCGTTAAACACGTCTGATAAGACCTGAAACACGAGTTCAGAGGTCAGATCTGAGACCAGGGAGAGGGAGAGACCAGAGAAAGGTACCAGAAAGAGAGAAAGACCAGAGAGAAAGACCAGAGAGAAAGACCAAGGAGAGACCAAAGAGAAAGACCAGAGGTCAGACCTGCAGGATGTGGCGGTTTGAAGATGCTCCTCCTGTTGCCAGAACTCTAGTCCCTGGAGCTGAAACCACAGTTTACAGACTTAACAGACCACCAGCTGTGACCACACGATTTAAAGCTGGAATACACAAACAAATCAGACACATCTCTTGTGTCATCTTTTGTGTCAGAAAGAGATTGTGAGTCAATATTGACTTTCTTTTGGCTAAGAGCGGAAAGACTGAGGGTGGTCACTTTTCTCTCTGAAAAAGTGGATCAAAGATGTGACAGAGGTCAGAAATACATGGTATGAAAACTCGTGATAGAAGGCGATTGTGTGCGTGTGTTACAGATGTGGTATCCCAGTCGTTCTGAGTGTAGTCTTCGTGACAGGAACTGTCCCTCCAGCAGAGCGCGCACCTCAGTGTGAGGAGGGAAGGACGCCACCTGCAGAACACCAGCAAAACTGCACTCAGCGTCAGGGTCAGGGTTATGCAGGGGGTATACTGCGGGGGCCCTCGTGGTGTCACTTGATGTCACATGATCAATGCAAGGATCACCGCAAGGAACCCTTGCGCTACCACCTGTGTACCCTCTGATTTTTCTAACTACTCAGCCGGCAGCGCAGAGAGGGTCTACTGTGATTGGCTCGTGTGAGATTATGTTTTAGATGGAAGCATAGAACAGCTGCGGTAGAAAAAGGACGAGGAACTTGGATGCGTAGATTGGTACCCTTCGAAGCACCGAAGCAAAGGATAAGTAGTTTCGGGCTCATGGCTCACAAGCCTGATATACGAGTAGGCTGTGTACTAGAGTTTTTGCACTGAACATTTACAGTATATACCATACAGTAGTTTATTTTGCACTGTTCCTGTGTCTTTGTTTGGATTTGCACATGTGTCTGCACCTTGTTGCATTCATCCTGCACTTATAAATAGTTCACTTTTGGTCTCAGATATTTATAACTTATTGTTTTGATTGTTAGTGCATGAATACACTTTAATAATAACCTTCTGTTTCCAACAAAAACTGTCTTTTTAAAATGACACAAACTTGTGCCTAGAATACAGATTTAATGAGATTCAGAGATTTTTTTTCAGCTTGGTTCGCCATTGTTTTTGTTTTGAAGTGGAGAAAGTAGCTAGAGGAGCTTTAGGGTCCCAAGCAATTCCTGCGAGACAGCCATCATGTGGTTGGGGTGTGGGATAACAACATTCTCTTCAAAACTATGCACGGGGAGTACGCTCTGTAGCGCACTGTGGCTACGAAATCAACCAGTGGTCCACCGCAAACGCCAACGCACACAGTGAGGCCCGAGTATACGCCTGCCTTTAGCCTGACGCCTAACCTCAGTCTCAACACAATCAAACACATTAGATAAATCACACCTCGTTATCGTCAGCATCAAAGCGCCGCACGCCGCATGCTGCCGGAGGATCTCCATCACGTCAAAGTAAAGTCCTGGGTCAAAACAAAACATGTGACTTATGAGTACGTCTCAGTCTGTGGTCTCTCTCGGGTCGCAGTCTGGTGCTCAAAGCAGTAAGATTTAGGGTTAGGACTATTCAATCTTGGACCTGGTTTGGTCTTAGTTTGGTCTTGCTTCAGGTCTGGTTTGGTCTGTGTCTTACCAATGTTCCCGTTGTTCCCGAGGGGACTGGAGCTCAGAGCTGAGGAGAATTTATCCCAGGAGCCTCCAGTCTGATCCCGGATCCGCTCTCGCACCAGCGACCCGTTCTTAAAGCTACAACAATAAAACTGGTTATAGACTTTGTCTCTGGTCTCTGGTCTGTAGTCTCTGGACTAACCACAGCAGGGCCATGTAGTGCTCTGGCTGGACTGGGTTGATGAAGACATGTCCCTCTAGTGCCGGCTGGGGGTACTGCAGCCACAGGAACACTGTATCACTGGTGCCTAAACTGACCTGCCCACAACATATCAGTGAGCACTTCTGAGATAATCAATCCCAAAGCTGAACCATTACTCACAGCGACATCTCCAGGCTGAAGTCTCATCCCAGCCAGAGACGCTGAAACATAGACAAGACCAGGGTGAGACCTGTTTTATCCATGCTTTAGTCCAGGTTTAGTCAGAGCCATTACCAGGATTGTCTCCGGTGAAAGCCACGACGCTGCAGGTTTCTGAGAATCCAAACCGCTTCACAAAGTACAAGCAGACGGAGCCCTGGACACATAGGGTAGAGCCAACCCCCAGAGGAGCTAACACCCAGAGGGGCTAACACCCAGAGGGGCTAACACCCAGAGGGGCTAACACCCAGAGGGGCTAACACCCAGAGGAGCTAACACCCAGAGGAGCTAACACCCAGAGGAGCTAACACCCAGAGGAGCTAACACCCAGAGGGGCTAACACCCAGAGGAGCTAACACCCAGAGGAGCTAACACCCAGAGGGGCTAACACCCAGAGGAGCTAACACCCAGAGGAGCTAACCCTCAGAGGAGCTAACACCCAGAGGTGCTAAAAAAGGAGCATGAAAATTAGATGTCTCTCCCAATAAGTGAGATAGAAATGCACAAATTATTGTTTAAAAGGATATATTCTGGAGCTAAAAGCAGCTGCAGGTTGAGGTTCTTACCAGGACTGATGAGGAGTCCACAGGGTCAGCCAGGAGAGGGCGCAGTCCTGGTGCACAGGCATCTAGACAGACGTCAGACCAGGCCTTAGAAGACAAGTCCAAGAGGTTCATCCCAGACCCTAAAATCAGACCAAAGTTTAGAGACCAGAGAGAGAGACCAGAGAGAGAAACCAGAGAGAGAGACCAGAGAGAGAGACCAGAGAGAGAGACCAGAGAGAGAGACCAGAGAGAGAGACCAGAGAGAGAGACCAGAGAGAGACCAGAGAGAGACCAGAATGAGCTGAGGTTTTCCTACCATCGCTGAAGTCAATTGCAGCATATTTTCCCAGGAACAGAGAGGCTGCGAAACTGCTGACAAGCGAAATCCTCTGTGACACACACAGAAACAGTCCATCTGAACAAGGGTTACAGACAAAACAGTCATAATCACAATTGCTCCTAACACTGCCCTCAGTCTTGGACCCTCTCCTTAATGGGACCCTCACCTCAGTCTGGTAGAACTCTTCTGGTCGAGTGTGGAACACTTTGGAGATCTGGTTTCCTGTAAAGCGCTTTGGACAAACAGGAAAAGAACATGAGACAGTAGTAGTAGTAGTAGTAGTAGTAGTAGTAGTAGCAGTAGCAGTGTTACAGCAGTACCTCATAGGCCTTGGAGCCAGTGATCTCAGACAGTCGTAGAGCGCCCCCTGCTGCTCGCTCCAGTGCATCACACTGAGTCCTGGAGCTAGAGTCCATCCACACAGGGGACTGAGGTACGGAGAAGCTGTCCTGAGGCATGTAGACTGTTATATATACTCTTATGTTTGCACTGATACAGACTGTGGAGTACCGGGGCTCTACAGTCCTCAGTCCTAGATCTACAGCCTCAGTCCTGGATCTACAGCCTCAGTCCTGGATCTACAGCCTCAGTCCTGGATCTACAGCCTCAGTCCTGGATCTACAGCCTCAGTCCTGGATCTAATGCCTCAGTCCTGGATCTACAGCCTGAGTCCTGGATCTAATGCCTCAGTCCTGGATCTACAGCCTCAGTCCTGGATCTACAGCTTCAGTCCTGGATTTATAGCCTCAGTCAGACCTGTAGGATGTGGCTTAGCTGCTGCTCTGGATCCATGGTTGTCAGTTTGTGACCGGCTCCTTTCCTCCAGAACACACTGCCGTGCTGCTGTGGGTTGCATAAACTGTTTCATAGACTGTTTTCTATACTATTATACTGTAATAGACTATAACTGTGACACAGTGACTGTGATACAGACTCTAGAGTGCCACAAGGTCAGTCCTGGGACCAAGATCATTCATGATGACACAGACATGAGTTAATAATAATACAAATCATAATAGGAGATACAGAGAAATGGGCTCTCAGATGCTGTACCAGGAAAGACCCCTACAATGTGAGACCATCGCTCTCTGATTTCACATGCAGACATATTGAAGAGTACCTGTCCACTCCCAGAGAGCGCCTTCACCCTGGAGAAATGGAATCCTGAGACCCGAGCATTTGTCTGGTGTGCATTTTATATATTTTTTTGCTATTTAGGATAAGTAGGACCCAATAAGTATAATACCTAAATTGTGATTTTGTACAGGAAGTAGTTTTTGAGAAAAAACATGTCCTCGTATGAGGACAGTGGGTCTCTCATAACCTAAAGAGAAAATGTATGATCTTTTAGGCCGGAAGGTCCTAATTAGTTGAAATTCAAAATTTCAGCTTGATCCAATTAGTACTTCTCTCAAAAATCAATGTCCTCACATGAGGACAGTGGGTCGACCTTACTATACAATACAAATAGACTCCATTGGTCTAAAATAGTATATAACAGTTTATTTGAAAAATGTAAACATCAAAGTTAGACATAAAATCCAAACAGCTCTATCTTCAAAGCCTAAAAATGTCATGGTGTGGACATTTTGACCTGGTTGAGTTTGAATCCTGCCTGTCCTGTTGATTGTTGCCCCCGCCCTAATGTGATTCACCTGTGTGTCCCTGTGTGTCCCTGTGTGTGTGTATATACCCTGTGCCCTTCCTCACTTGTTGTCCGTCCATTGTCTCCACAATGTTTGTCCTGTCTTCAGTTCTGTTTTTACATTACCTTGGATTTATTTTATTAAATTACTTTGATTTTCAGTCCTGCAATTTGGGTTCCCTTTTTCTTCATTCATCCACATGACAAAAAATTGGCTATACATAAATAAAACCGCAAAATACTGTGTAAACTGTCTATTTCAAGCCTTCAATATGGCTGAATTGAATTGATAAATACAATACTAGAACAAATAATGGCAAATATTATTAACAGTCCTAAAACAGTAAAATTCTGCTGAACAGCTTATGAACCGGGGCTTTTTTCAAACTAGCTCCCTCTCTTTTTCTAGAAAGCAATCTGTCTGCCTGTTTGGAAGAGCCCTATTGGCAAGTGTGAAATGCTGCAAAGCAGTTGCATTCACTTTGCAAGCACAGGTACACATTGCATGTCATGCATCGGACACAGGATTTTCCAATGCAGTCTTGTGCTCTGCAACGCATGGGGTTTTTCAAGGCTACCATCTCCGGGTTAGAGTTAGGATTACAATATCCCCAGTCGAGGTCAGCAGCTCTCCACCCGCACCATACACGGTGTTGGCAAAGCACTGCTTCCCCCTCCTGAGGCGCCGGAGGGTTTGCCATAACCTTTTTGAGGGCGACCGATAGTCATGCTCCATGGACTCTCCGAACTCCTCCCAGTGTCGGGTTTTTGCCTCTGCAACAGCCCGGGCCGCGGCACGCTTGGCCTGCCGGTACTGGACAGCTGCCTCCGGAGTCCCACAAACCATCATTGCTCGATAGGACTCCTTCTTCAGCCTGACGGCATCCCTTACTGCCGGTGTCCACCACCGGGTTCGGGGATTGCCGCCGGGACCAGCACCAGAGACCTTGCGACCACAGCTACGAGCCGCTTTATTGGTGATAGAGGAAGAGAACATGGTCCACTCGGACTCAATGTCCCCCTCCTCTGGGTCCTGGGAGAAGCTCTCCCGGAAGTGTGAGTTGAAAGTCCGTCTGACAGGGGGCTCAGCGAGACGTTCCCAGCAGACCCTCACTATACGCTTGGGTCTGCCAGGTCTGACCGGCTTCTTCCCCTGCCAGCGGATCCAACTCACGACCAGGTGATGATCGGTTGACAGCTCCTCCCCTCTCTTTACCCAAGTGTCCGAGACACGCGGTCGAAGGTCAGATGATACGACAACAAAGTCGATCATCAACCTCCGGCCTAGGGTGTCCTGGTGCCACGTGCACTGGTGGACACCCTTGTGCTCGAACATGGTGTTCGTGATGGACAGACCGTGACTGGCACAGAAGTCCAACAACTGAACACCGCTCGGGTTCAGATCAGGGGGGCCGTTCTTCCCGATCACCCCTCTCCAAGTGTCACTGGCATTTCCCACATGGGCGTTGAAGTCCCCCAGGAGAATAACGGAGTCCCCGGGAGGTGCACCGTCCAGTACCCCTCCCAAGGACTCCAAGAAGGCAGGAACTCGGCACTGCCGTTAGGCCCGTAGGCCGTCACAACAATGGGAGACTTGTCCCACCCGGAGGCGGAGGGACGCGACCCTCTCATTCACCGGGGAGAACTCCAACACATGGCGGCTGAGATGGGGGGCAATGAGTATGGCCACCCCAGCTCGCCGCCTCTCCCCGTGGGAAACACCAGAAGATGACTGACAGGTATGAGATGATGATACAATCATCCCCATCTGAGAAGTCCTCTATCTCAGAGTTGTCTGCAATTGCCAACAGCAATTGTTCTGCTCTTGACAATGAAAGTGTGCCTGTAATGATAATGTTAAAAACCAACATCAAAATCTACAGTATATCAGTGACACTTCATAGCTTGGCTATCATGTGCTAGCTATAGCCTAGCTATATTGTTTATGATTTAGAATTTAGCAACACTAAACAATACTTAGCATATACCACTTAGTACTTAAATATACTATTTACAACTGTAAACCACATAACTAAGCAAATGTGTGATTCAAAATAACTATTTACAACTGTAACTTCATCTAAATCTTCCACACGGTTAGCTAAACAGATAGCGGTACATAGTCCTAGCGTCCTCAAACGAGTGCTTCACTTTTACTGACATCCTAGCCTGCTACTACAATCAAAATTTGTCAAATTTCAAACTCCATATGAAGCTAGAGACATTATTGTGCATAAAAAAATTGATTTCATTCATAAAATGTTGATAGAATTTTTACCTGGGGCATTTTTCTTCTGTAAACTCTTGTAGAAGTCTTTTGCTGATATTGCCACCATTTTTTTCCTACTGCCTTAAGTGTAATTCTATCATATCACCACAAGATGGCGCGGGCAGTGTCCCTAAATGTGGCCATCAGGTCAAGGATGTAAAAAATTTAGTATCATTGTGCCAAGAGGCAAAAATGTAATGTCCTCGTATGAGGTCGCAGGGTCTCAGGAGGTTAAAGCTGGGGTACCTAACTTTACAACCACAACAATTGTAACCATATGACAAATAGACTAATTAGTTTTTTGCCCTCAAAATGCTTTTCACATGTATGTATTTCTGGCCTTACAGTGTGAAAGAAAAGCGTCAAATAGTGGCTCTGGGCTCTTAGGATCTCTCTTACCAATTGATAAAATGAAATAAATACACAAGTAAAGACAATAACATTGAACTTTTGTGTTATTTACTATATAAGAAAGGTTATGCACCTCACTATCGTTTAAGTTAAACCCCACTATTTTCACAACTTGATACTGAACTTGACCCAATTGGGATGAGAGTTGGATCCATGTTACTTGCCAACTGGATGTTCCTCCTCAGTAAACTACATTGTGTTTTGTTAAAGGGGAAAATGACCCTCCACCATCCTCCAGATATAATGAGAAAGATCTTTTTAAAAAGCTCAATTTCAAAACTGAATCCATATTTTTATTTTTATGTAGAGTTATACATGTTTGCTATCAACTTGCCATCATTCAAGTTTCTGATCCCCATGTCTCACCCTCAAGAGCTAAAGCCGTTGGATCAGGCAAAAACAAAGATAGACATTAGGTAATTAAACAAGAGCAGAGAGAACTAAAAGTAGAATGTGTGATAATTGATAGAATTGTCATGCACAAGCCCACCATTCACCATGTTTCCTTCGTACAGTCTATTTTCTATTCGTCGGCAATCACTAAAAGAGGAAACGCAACTCAAAGCCAGATCCAGTTTGTTTCCTTTAATTCACTGCTGCTTCCTTCTTGAGGTCACTTCCTATAGCACTTTGACACCGACACCACTCCGTCTCTATATCCCGCATACAGGCAGAAAAAACACACAAAACCGTCACGCGTGGCTTCTGCTCTTATCACATTCCTCTGAATTTAGTGTAGCCAGTGTAGACACAGCAAAGTACAGCAAATTATAACTCGGAAATTCGTTAGAAAATCATGTCTGTCTGCTTTATAGATGAAAAAGTACCTGATTTTCAATATTGTGTCTATTACTCATACAGGGTATATATATTAAGGGTTTGTGGATATGTGAAAACGTGAATATCAACCCTTAACATTGGAGCAAACTTATTTACCATGCACATATCCTAAGGAGTTCCACCACTACAATTGTGTTTGACTTTATATTAATATAGTACACCCCAAAGTATTCACTGAGGGTACACTTCTATCATTATCAGTACATAGATTACATGCAATTTATAACTAGTATTTGTAGTCATAATATCCAGTCAAAGGAATCCCAAAAAATATGTGTAATAAGTGAGATAGATAATAAGGTCTATTATGACTCCAGTGTGGCTGTATACTCATCAAATATTTTCCTTTCCTTGTGTTTCATGCACTTTGTCATCCTTCTCCTTTCTGTCGCCCCCAGCCTCTCTTCAGAAGGAGCAGGTCTGGGCAGGTCTGTTTGTGCTCTGGATTCTGTGGAGCAGTGAAGTGTGAGCTTCCCCCGTTCCCCCCAGTCCTGATGTAGGCGACTGATTACAGTATACAGAAAAATCAGATTGTTGGTTGGTATCTGATCCCCATTTTAAGATAAATACAGCGAAGGCTAAATAAAAATACTATGCTGCTGTGGCTTATGCTGCACTGATGAATCC